ACCTTACCCTTGCCTTCAGGTCAGGGTTTCCCCAGGGCCGTGAGCCACCAGTTGGACGTTGACCGTATTCATAGGAGGCTGACCCTTCTGCGTGACTAACGTGCCCTTGGTAGCCCTGCGCCAGGAGAAGGTTCCTCTGCTGGTCTTGTGGGTGGGCTGGTCTGTGCTGTGATTTCAGAGGGAGTCCCTCTCTGGAGTGGGACGTTGCTGCAGCCTGCCATCAGCTGTGCCTCTGGGCTGCCTCCAGCACCCTGCCCTGCCAGCTGCAGGAATGTGCACCATAAGGACAGTGCTTTAGACCTTACTGGCCTTCACGACGACTGGCACTGCTTTTTAATGACAGGCCTTTCCTCCTGCAACGTTGGAGAGCTCTGTCTGCTGTGGATGGCTGAACGAGGGTTGGCCTGAGGCTGCTGTACCCACTTAGGGGATCTCTTCAATGTCCTGCTCAGGTCCCATCTCTTCTCCCTCGTTTCCAGCCCTTGGCTGTGGCACATGGCACTCACACTTGGTTCTTGCCCTGGTCCTGTTCGTTATGCAGCTGTGCAGATGCTGGCTAAAGAAGTGGGTGTGTGGGGGCAGGAGGATGCTGCCTTGTGTCCTAAGGTCCACTTGAATTTCTAGTGGAAGATGGCAAATCGTGTGTAATTCGTTGGGACAACCCTGAACATTGTTGAGGTAGTGTATTTCTGTTAATTGTGCAGTGGCTGTGCTCCTAACAGATGTCGGCCGTCGTTGGGAGAGGTCCCCCAGACATGGTGCATTTAGCTCTTGGGTGAGAGAAGATGCTCCCTGATAACAGCTCTCCTGTGGGTAGTCACACACAACCTTTGGTTTGTGTGGGCAAGCACAGCTGCTCCCTTTGATGGCCAAGTAGTTAAGAAAGAGCTGAGGTTACTTTTTCAGATGTCATGAACTGAGCGGCGGTAGCTCTCAGAGCAGAGGACACGGATGGTTCCTGATTTCCAACAGGTCTGTGCTATGGTGGACTCTCTTGTCTCAGAGGACCCACCTCTCTATTCAGGAGAACTTAGGAAAAGCCTCCTGCCTCTGCCTGCAACCTGCTTTCACAAAGCAGGGGAGCATCTTGTCCCACCGGGGTTGTGACCAAAAAAACTTGTTCCTTTTGGAAACTGGGCCAGGAGACACTTGGCTGGTGGCTCAGTCAACCTCATCTTAAAGACACCTGAGATTTTGGTGTCTCCCAGTTTGTCAACCTCACGGAAAGGTTCAGTAGAAGGGAAGGCCAAAAGCAGAGCTAGGATTTGGCTTCTTGATCCGCTGCAGCCTTGGTAGAAGGTTTGGAGCTGCGTCTTTATTTTTTTCTCATTTTCGGGATGAGGTAAGCCAGGGTGGTCTGAGGAATGAAATCATGCTGAGGTGGCCAAACAGCAGATTTTCAAGGAAAGAAGGGAGCGTGGCAATGTCCTGCTTACCCACCTGACTGGCAGGGACTGCATGGCTCTTCTGTGGAAACGCTGCCAGGTCACTTGTTGCCTTTCTTGGAGCTTTGTTTGGGGCTAAATTATAGGTAAGAAGTTTTTCTACCAAACCTCACTTCTTTCATCTTGACTATTGCAAGAAATGCTTACCAGTGTTCCTAAATTGTCCCCGCCGTGGGGCCCAACGTTCAGGCGTCAGTGTGTTGCAATGATGACTGCATTATAATCTTTTAAATGTGCTTGGTTAAAACCATGACAATAAAATCAGCAGGACAGCACTGCATCTGATGAAACCCCACCCACTTTTTATCTCTGACTCCCCATGGTCTTGCAGCGTATGCTCTTTCTAGATGAAATCTCTCCAGGGTTTGCTCTGTGGCACCACCAATAATCAGCATCAACGGCCTTCACTCTGTTTGTGCTTCAGCTCTGGCTTCCCAAGCCGTGTCCCAGCCCATGGATGGTGGGAAGCTGGTGATTGTTCCTCGCCAAGCAAGCTGCCAACCCAACCGTCCGCCATCCACTCACGTTTCTCTCTGCCTTTTTGTTTTTTTAGCTGGTGACAGGAACTTGAGCTGGTGTGTGGCAGTCAGTTGTGCAGGGTTAGGAAGAGTTTACTGGTCAGATTATTAACATAGCAGAAAAATTGGAGGGATCTGGTACCCTCTGGAGCTCCTGGCAGGTAGGAGAGGTCTGACAGTGTTGCTGAATTGCAAAAATGCCCTCAGTGATTCTTTCCCAGGTTCCAAAAGATGCCAGTGTGCAAAATACAAGCTCTGAGATGCACACACAGTGCATCATACAGATTCACGACACAGCAACGTGTACTTTTAACGTAGCAATCTCATTACGTTAACCATGTTGGGAATGTTAGTTCCTGCCTCTTGCTGAGGCGTGGATGTTACTGTGGTTCATCTCCTGCAGGATGGATCCCGCAGATCAGCAGTTTGCAGAAGCCAAGTGTGCAGCAGGAATCCATACTGATGCAGAGGGCTTGCAGGAGAGATTCAAAGTGTGCAGGTTTATTTCTCCACGTAGAAATATCCGTTGTGTCTGCTGCGGCTTGCAAACAAATTGTAAAATAGCTGCTTTGTGGTTTTTGGAGTGCTACACTTGAGGGGTGTGTGGTCACCGAGCGAGCGTTAGGCTGCCGCCGGGGAGGCTTCACAGCAGGGCTGAGAGGTGACAAGCTGTTGGGAAGGTGAGTTTGGGCACTCCTGCTTTGCTGAGGGTCCTTGGCGAGGTGATGCGTCATTTCAGAGCTCCAGCAGAAGTAAACACAGCAGAAACGCACTCTTGGGAGGAGGGATTATTTTTGGCTGCTGGCTCTTCTGCATGTGCTCATTTAGTCTCGCTGCCGAAACCTGAACCCCTGAGGACAGGTGGAAATTAAACCATGGTGGTGCTGTCTCACCTTTGCGAGCTTAAAAAGTTCAAACAGACTTTTGACAGACCCTGTGAAAAATCAAACTAAACCAAACCACGAAATACAGATCTTGAGATACTTACCTTTTATTGTCTGAGTCATCAGGATGTGTTGAGCTCACTCATTTTTGTTTTTCAGGGTCAGGTGTAGAGAGGTTCTGGGGTTTTGTTTTTGTTTTGCTGTGGTACCTGGGCCCTGTGTTTCAGGCAGCATCTCATCCGTCCCCTACACTTCGACCCCCAATTAATTTGTTTCATTTGAAACGACTGCGGAAGGGGGAAGTGATGTCAGGGACGTGCGCTGGTGGCTGTGGCAATGAAAATGGGAAGTGAGACTCCTTGGAGCGAGAAGATGCATCACTGGAGGTGGTTGGGACAACAGCTCGGAAAACCTTTTTAGGCCAGGACTTCCCGCTGAGTCGTGTGGTGGTGGCACAGGGTGGGAACTGGTCAGCGCGGGGCAGCTCTGGAGGTATTGCTTCTCCCTTCCTGAGTTTCTTCCAGTGCAATCTCACAATCACAGCACCAATATTGAAGCTCACTGAGAGTTAACCTTGGAGGTGAGATTTATGACCATTATTGTGATTATTTCAGACACAGCTATTCTTACCAGTACATTAAAATGTTCTGGAGTGGGGTAGCAGTTCAGTGTGCCCACAAGCAATTGCAGATGGAATATTTGCAGGTGTAAAGAGGATAATTCTGGAGCCTTTTGCTAAAATTGAATTGAAAATGGGCATGAAATTCTGAGTAGAGTTATAAATTGCTGTGGTGGGAGATTGGTCTCTGCTGGGATGCTGGTCTCTCTGAAAGATAATAAAAGCAGGTGAGGAGAGGGGGAGTATTTTTTCTCTGCTGTTAAGGAATAGTTTTCACCTAGTTTTCTGTGTTGGCAGAGCCCTCTTGCATATAAAATATGAAGCCTTTGCTGAATCGTGTTAAAGTGTTAATGTCCCAGCAAGTAGAGGGGAAAAAAAAATCAAAAATCAGGCTGCTTTGCTAACACATTTAAAAGGTGACCTTTTAATTTGTTGTTTCTCCCATTCCTCTCTTTTTTTTTTTTTTTTTTTACTTGTCAATGTTCTTTTTTCTTTTTCTTGGAAAATCAAAGATGACCACTTCTCTACTATGACTTCAGAGGTAGAAATATTTATATAGCAAGATGTGAATCATGGGAAAGCCCAAGCCCGCTCTTGTACTGATGATGTGAAACGGATAAACCTACAGCGGTGAAGAATCCAGCTGGGGAGAAAATATTTATATTCCCTCTGGAGATTTTTCCTTTGGCTGCCTCAGCTGGAAACGTAATCCTTGCAAATAATAAGGTTTTGAAGATATTTTATGTGCAAAAAGTCCTTGTTGAAGTGCGATGGCTGGAGCTGCAGGGCACGGACAGGCTGTTTCAGTCTGTTTCCCGGTGGGGGGGCAGGTTGATGTCAGGAACTACCAAAATTCAGGGCTCTGGCTCAGCGCTGTGCCGGTCCCGTGTGTGCACCAGCGAGTGCACGTGTGTCCGGTGGGTGTTACTGTCTCTCCTCCTGTCACACTGTCTTTCCCAGCCAGGTCCCGCTCCTGCTCGGCTCAGCCCCGCGACGCCGCTGCTTCTCGCCCCAACTGCAATTATTAGAAGCCGTGTTATGTGAAACATAGCAAGTAAATTAGCACTTTAAGTTGCTTTTGTTTTGCAAGTGTAATTAAAATAATAGGCGAGTCTGCCCGCGTTTGAAAGTGCCGAGGAGGCAGGGAGTGTGCTGCCCGTGTCTGTCTCTCTGCGGAGCCCATGTCCTGCCCTGCCTGCCCTGCTGTGCCCGTCACCCGGCCCCGCGCCGGCGGGACAGCCATCTCCTGCCGCAGCCGACACCAGGGACTGGCACCAGAAGGGCTCTGAGCAGAGGCAAGTACTGCCTTTCAAAAGGGAGCCTGCGCCATGCAGAGACAAACCCAACATACGCCAAAGGCAGCTATTTTCTTTGCCGTTTTTCCTTCTGCACCCAGTTGCCAAGGTTTGCTGCAAAGGCTCATGCAATTCGTTTGAGGTTTTTCTCCTTTATATTAGTCCCAGCCGAGATTTTCATTTGTACAGAGAGCAACAAGATGTAACGAAAGTGGTTTGTTTTGCTTTGTTTTCGTCAGGAATCAACCAATGTGGTGTACCAAGCCCATCATGTCAGCAGGAGCAAGAGAGGACAAGTTGTCGGTACCAGGGGTGGATTCCGAGGCTGCACGGTTTGGCTAACAGGTATTTCCCTCTGTGGCTGAAAGCGTGGCTTCACGTGTGAAACCCACTTGCACACTTGAGTTCGGCTTGGAGGTGGGGATTTGGGATCAGCAGGAAACATCAGTGTTCCTTCTGAACTGGGAATTGCAAAACAATTACACGTGGGAAACACCGACACGCAGTGCTGGCACAGCAAGATATTCTCCCTGGCAGCTACTGCCCATAACTAATGCTTTTATGAATTTCACAGCTGTTATCGGGCTCCTTTGAACATGCCAGAAACGCTAAGGATTGCACTTGTTGTTCCCAAGTGTGTGGCTGAGGAACGTTTGGCTCAAATCCAGCCAGTCCTTGGCAGAGAAACGTGCCCAGGGTTGTCCAAAAGAGCACACGGATGTTTTAGTTCTGGGTTAGCCTGAAGTTTATTTCCCAATAAACTTCCTAAGTTTACTGTGTTTAAAGTGACCTCGTGAGCAGCACAACAAGGCAGTCGTCTTGTCTGAAGAATTAAATACTCCCAGACAGCAAGTTGCACTGGAAGCGATTCACTGTACAGCCCTTGTGGGCTTCTTATGTTATTTCTCCTTTCGTACGCCTTCGATATGTTGCCCTTCTCTTCTGCTTTGAACGATAAACTCATTGTTTGGGGATTAGGGGCTGCTAGAAATGACGATTGCATTTATTTTGCTCCACTGATATTTACACAACTCTATCTTCTGCTGCTTGTCAAGTTGTTTCTTTGCTCCTTAAATATTGGTATTTTCTTTGACTGATGGAAAATTTTGAAAGATGTACCTTGGAAGGGTTGGTAAAGCCATTCTGATTTGCCTTCCCATCAGCTTATGTTGGGTTAAAACACATTTCTGTTTTGTTCTCTTTTTTTAATTTAGAAAAGAAAGTCGAGGCCCAATCTGCTTTAATATAATTTCTGAAGCCAAAAAAAACCTATCGAAGGAATTTCCTTCTTTTTCGAGTGTCATTTAAAGACCCTGTTTCTGAAGGGCTTGTACTTCTCTGGCTGATGATTGTTCTTTGAAATAGACAGTGGTCTCCTAACTTCCTGTCACTGTAATTTTAAGAGACTGTAGGGAGGCATATCTCCATAGGACATTCTCTAAGGCTAAGTGTTTCCTGAGACAGGCGTGGTGTTTGGAGGTGTTATCCCTCCCAAGTCAAGGTTCTCTTCTGTCTGAAGGAGTTTTCAACACCTGGACTGCCACCCCAGGGGAAGGAGGAGTTTGGTGCTCCAGGTGCTCTTCCTGCTTTCTGACACAGCCAGTGGCAAGGGCTTTTTGCAGAATTGAATGGAGCAAGTGGATGGGAAGTAGCCACCTCATTTTGGATTGTTGTTTTTCTGGCTGATGATGCCAGGAGACGCAGGCAGCTGAAGATGCGCTGCTTGTCTACACAATCACCCTGCTCCTACTCTCACAGATCTGTGAGTGCTGTTCCTGCAGAAGGAGGTGTCCATGGATGCAGAGGGGCAATTACTGGTGGAGCCTGTCTCATCCTGCAGTTGTGGCAAGAACCTCTCTATGGATTCAGCCTAGGAGAGCAGTTGGATGTTCACAGGAGGAACAGGAGGAGCAAGAGGAAGGTGCTGAGGGACTTGCATCCTTTCAGGCTTCCCCTACTTACTGGTACCTATTTGTCCCACCATGGCCCAGGAAGATGTACTCTTGCGACACTGTTGGTTGAACCCCTCCAGATGTTGGGGTATAACAGCTTTTCTCATGGCGTTAATGCCAACTCTTCAATAAGATAAGGGTTGGCCAGGGCTCTGTAGTGGTAACTGTGTGCTAAAAAGATGAATCCAGTTTCCCTACCTCATTCCTTCCTTAATGCAACTTCAGACAGAAGGATTTTCGTTGCCAGTGTCCCAGGAGGTATTGTGTTACACTTGTCATTTTCATTTTTTTGACCTCAAACATGAACCTCACCTTTCTGTCTCCAACAGGCCTTTCTGGAGCTGGCAAGACAACCATTGGCTTTGCTTTGGAAGAGTACTTGGTCTCTCATGGCATCCCTTGCTATTCCCTGGATGGTGATAATGTTCGGCATGGCTTGAATAAAAACCTGGGTTTCTCTGCTGCGGACCGCGAGGAGAACATCCGCCGCATCGCAGAGGTGGCCAGGCTGTTTGCTGACGCTGGGCTTGTCTGCATAACTAGTTTCATTTCTCCTTTTGCAAAGGTAAATGCCCTGCATTATATTCTGCTCTTTTCTGGGCAGCCTTCATCTCATGATTGTTCTTACGGAAGAGAGAATTATGTAGACGACTTTCTATATATGCCTCAGACGCTCCTTTTAACTTCTCTGTTTTTTTTTTAACCACTGATACACAGGACTACGTGCTATAGGTACAAATTTCTGGAGGGCAGTTTGATGTGACTTCTTTGAATATATTCATATTACAAGTTGTCTAAAAGCTAAGAGGAGTTTGAAATCTCCTTACAGAGGCTCCTACTATTACAGAATCCCAGAATGGCAGGGTTTGGAAGGGACCTTCGGAGATCATCTAGTCCAACCTCCCTACCAAAGCAGGGTGACCTAGAGCAGGTTGGACAGGAACGCATCCAGACGGGTTTGGAATGTCTCCAGAGAAGGAGATATTCCCTCTCTGGGCAGCCTTTTCCAGGGCTCCATCACCCTCAAAGTAAAGAAGTTTTTCCTCATGTTGAGATGGAATTTCTTCTCTTCTCCAGGCTAAACAGACCCAGATCTCTCACCTTTCCTCATAAGAGAGGTTCTCCAGTTCCCTGATCATTTTCGTAGGCTTTCTCTGGACTGTCTCCAGTAGTTCCCTGTCCTTCTTGAAGTGGGGAGCCCAGAACTGGAAACAGTGCTCCAGATGGGGCCTCCCCAGGGTGAAGTAAAGGGGGAGGATGACTTACTTCGACCTGCTGGCCACGCTCTTTTTAATGCACCCCAGGATGCCATTGGCCTTCTTGGCCACAAGGGCCCATTGCTGGCTCATGGTCATCCTGTTGTCCACCAGGAGTCCCAGGTCTTTCTCCTCAGAGCTGCTCTCTGGCAGGTCACCCCCAGCCTGTCCTGGTGCGGGGGGTTATTCCTCCCCAGGTGCAGCACCCTACACTTGCTCTTGTTGAAGTTCATCAGATTCCTCTCTGCCCAATTCTCCAGCCTGTCCAGGTCTCACTGGATGGCAGCAGGGCCTTCTGGTGTGTCAGCCACTCCCAGTTTTGTGTCATCAGCAAACTTGCTGAGGGTACACTCTGTCCCCTCATCCAGGTCATTGATGAATACATGGAACAAGACTGGACCCAGTACTGACCCACTAAGCCTCCAACTGGGCTCTGCGCTGCCAGTCACAACCCTGTGTTCTCTGCCATCCATCCATCTCACTGTCTGCTCATCTAACCCCTGCTTCCTAAGCTTATCTATGAGGATGCTGTGGGAGACAGTATCAAAAGCCTTGCTGCAGTCGAAGTAGACAGCATCCATTGCTCTTTCCTTATCCACCCAGCCAGTCATGCCATCATAGAAGGCTATCAGATTGGTCAAGCATGACCAATTGTTAACTCGTTAGGAGGCAGAAAAGAGGTAGAGGAACAACAGCCTGTCAGTGCTATCGCTACTCTGAAGATGTATTGATTGAGTTTTTGTGCTTCCTGAGAATACCAAGTAGCTGCTGTTATCAAGCTGATGCAAGCAGTTCCTTTTTTGACATAGGGCAGGTAATTTTTCACATTCTAAATTTCTGCTTAACAAAGAGATCATCTTGATATTTTGGATGGAAAAAGCTGAAAACAGATCAAAGTTGTAGATTATTTTTTTAAAGTATCTTTAAAGAAAAAGTTGGAAAAACCCTTATTAGAATTACTGTGAATTTAATAAATCTATGCTAGAGACAATTTTACCGGTGTCAAATTCCTGGGCATGTTGTGTCATAGGAAGGTGATTGCTGCAATTCAGGCATGTACAATTTTTCTGTCTTCTGACAGGATCGTCAAAATGCACGGAAAATTCATGAGGCAGCTGGACTTCCTTTCTTTGAAATCTTTGTAGATGCTCCTCTAAATATTTGTGAAAGCAGAGATGTGAAGGGCCTGTACAAAAAGGCAAGAGCTGGAGAGATCAAAGGTATGGAAGAGTGAGCTCTTATTTTGCCTTTTGTTTTCTGAAGAATTAGATGGCCTGTTGTTGCAGCTCTGCATGTAGAGGTGGGTTACTAAAGGCTCTTTGTAGTGCACAAGAGTATCCTGTTTCCCTAATTTTGCTGTCATGAGTGTCACTTGTACTACCCAGTATGGTTGAATGCTCGCAGGTTGTTTGTACAGCTTTGTTGGCTGCAGGGCACTTTAAATAAATTTAATTTGGGTTTAATTGTCTGTAGGATTCACGGGGATTGACTCAGAGTACGAGAAGCCCGAGTCTCCTGAGCTAGTGTTGAAAACGAATGTTGCGTCAGTGTCTGAATGCATTCAGCAGGTTGTGGAGCTCCTCCAAACACAAGTAGGTCATCTTTATGCAACTGCTGCTGGCAGCTTGTAAACCTGCTTTCAGATGCTGAGTTTTTGGTGTGCGTTTGAAAACCAGCGTGTTACTTACAATTGCTGTCTGTCCCTCTCTTTCAGAACATTGTGCCCTATAGCTCAACTAAGGATGTTCTTGAGTTGTTTGTACCTGAAAATAAATACCAGAGTGTCCGAGCTGAAGCAGAGATGCTGCCATCCGTAGAGATCACTAAGGTATCATCATGCGTGCATGCTGTGCTGTCACTCATTATTTAGCTGTTGAAGGGTAGAAGTCGACAGGGATGTTGCTAGAGGGGGCTCTGTTCCTCTGCTGGCTGTTTCCTTTTGTGGCTGTGCTTTATGGCGAGCTGAAGCAGGGTCCTGATCCTCAGCCCTTTTCTGCTGTCTCCACCCTGTGCTGTAGCAAGCCAGGGCCATCAGTCTCCTTCATTGTGTTAGCACAGCCCTGCAAGCTGTCATGCTATCAAAGTACCCGATTCTGCCTTAAAAAAATAACCAAACCAGCCCTGCCGCGGATTTCCTCCCCTTTACGAATGTCCCGTGTTTGAAGCAAAACCGGTGAGAACGCTGTTGCAGCAGAAGGGAAGGAAAAGCAACCTGTGAGCGTGACCTGGTGACAGGAGTGCCCTTTGGGTTTGTTTTGCAGCTGGATCTGCAGTGGGTGCAGGTGCTGAGCGAAGGCTGGGCCTCTCCGCTGACCGGCTTCATGCGCGAGGCAGAGTACTTGCAAGCGATCCATTTTGGCACCCTGCTGAATGGTACGACCCCCATGCTGTGCTGCGGGACGGGATGCTGCCGCCGCGGGGTCTCCGCAGGCAGCCGGGCTGAAAATCATAGAATCATTCAGGTTGGAAAAGACCCTTGGGATCATCGAGTCCAACCATCAACCCCACTCTGCAAAGTTCTCCCCTACACCATATCCCCCAACGCCACATCTAAACGACTCTTAAACGCGTCCAGGGATGGCGACTCAACCCCCTCCCTGGGCAGCCTGTTCCAGTCTCTGACCACTCTTTCAGTGAAGAATTATTTCCTAATGTTCAGTCTAAACCCACCCTGTTTCAGCTTGAAGCCATTCCCTCTTGTTCTATCGCTAATCACCTGTGAGAAGAGACCAGCACCAACCTCTCTACAGTGTCCTTTCAAGTAGTTGTAGAGAGTGATGAGGTCTCCCCTCAGCCTGCTCTTCCTCAAACTAAACAGTCCCAGCTCCTTCAATCACTCTTCATAAGATTTGTTCTCCAGGCCTTTCACCAGCTTCGTTGCCCTCCTCTGCACCCCTTCCAGTACCTCCATATGTCTCTTGTATTGAGGTGCCCAAATCTGGACACAATATTCAAGGTGTGGCCTCCCCAGTGCTGAGTACAGGGGTGCTCGGCTGTGTTGCCCTACTTTCCTCTCACGTGTTAAATGCTGGGGGCTCCTGAAGGACCACAAGGGCCAGGAAACCGTGCTCTGAAACGTACCAAAGGGTACAAAAGGTGATGAAGTTCACTGTGCTGTGGCTGGGGCCCCGGCTCACAGCTTTCCCGTCTTGCATGGTGCCTATCAGACATTTCAGTGGGCATTGTGGAGCTCTTTTCATGCTCAGTCGTGCCAGGGTAAATAAAGATGCAAAGCCAATTAAGCAGGGAGGCTGAATTTGAGGTGAGAGGAGAAGGCAGCTGTTCCTTGGAAACAGGAGCAGAGCCTGGTTTCACTCTTTCTTTTCCCTGTTTTTCTTCTTATCCATTACTGTAACTTGAAATAAATCAGGTTTACTGAGTCGTTAGCGACATGTTAGAGGTGCTTCACCCCTGGAAAAGGCAGAGTGCTCAAGCAGTGATTGCCTACAGCTGAGACCAGGGCAGTAGATACTGGTGAGTGAGTCCCTTTGAGCCTTGCCCTCCTGCCCAGGGCAGTGACGTGGTGCTGTTGGGGGGATTTGGGCACCTCGGGGCAGCTCCAGAGCTGGGGGCAGCTCGCCTTGGACTGGAGGAGCGTCTGGGGGACGCTTCTGCTTTCGGAGACGCCGTAGCCTTTTACCTCCCGCCTAGTGTGTAAACAGTGTTCAAAAGCACATGTCCTGGTTATCAGACCCAGGTCTGTGGTCTTTGAGCTGCCTGTTGTGCCTGAGGAGGTCACAGAGGTGCTCCATAAGGACCAAAGAGCTCCGCACTTTGCGCTAGAGGCTCGTCTCAGAGAGTACCTGGTTTTGGGGCACTTCCCCAAATCTGTTTGGCATCACTGAGCACAGTTCCTCTGGGGTCCGCAGGCACATGGTCAGGATTTGTAGAGCTCCATGAGGTCAGGAACAAAGCTCAGGACACCTGCTTTTAGAGGGCGATGATCTCTCCAGGGCAAGGTCCCAGTCCACCATGTCTCCATGGAGGTCTCCATACTCAACGTCTGAGTGCTCAGGCCCACAGGGTGACGTCTGGGCAGGAAGGAGAACATCCCTGGTTTGCTTGGATGAGGTCTAGGAAATGATGGAGGGTTTCCATCTTGTGGTGCCGAGGTTGGACTACATGTTACCAAAGAGAGGTTTGCTGGTCTTTCCAGGCTGTTGGAAAGCCATTGGACCAAAATTGATCCAGCCATTTTGCTCTGCGATGCAGGTGATGTTTTTGGCAGCTCCAGCTGTGCCTGGAAGGGCTGTGATTCATTTTGGTGGACTTATGCAAGTTAGTGCTGCTCTGGCTCAGATTCTGAGCAGTAAATCCCACTAGCAGCAGTTGGGTGGAGGAGGTGCTGTGTGTAGGGGCACGATGCCCACCAAGAAGAAAGGCAGGTCTGCCTGTGGTAAGGCAACAAGAGTGTTGCAGGGTCTCCAGAGCTCTGCCCTCTGCCCTGGCGACGCGTGCCTCTGTCAGGGCTGGGTGACAGCCCCCGTGGGTGTTGTGCAGGACCCCCAGCCAGTGCCACCCTCACCCCCCCACTGGTGAGCACTGGGGAGGCTGAGGCAGCGCCGTGGAGGGGGGAAACGAGGGCTTTGGAGTGAGCGGCTCTGGTTCTCGGAATGGCTGTTGGAACTGGTGCCTGTGAGTGTTAATTATCTTAATTCTGTTTGTATTCTACCAGGAAGGAATCACTCTCTAGCTGGTATGTATATAACTGTCTTTAGGTTGTACAGAAATTACTGCAATTAGATTTTTTTTTTTGCTATAATTTAAAAAAAACAACAACAACAACAAAAAACAAACAACACCAGAAAATTGTTAAGACCAGGCACAACCATGGCCAGTTTCTGATTCAGATGATTATGAAGCAGCATGATGCACCCTACCAGCCGGTCTTCACAAAAATCCCAATTGTGTAATTTTGTAATCACCTGTGCTAGAGTGATTTTTTTTATTTTATTTTTTTTTTAAACTCTGTATCTTTTATTTGGAAATAGACCATGGAGATCCTCAGCTTCAACATCATTTGTTGGTTTCATAATCCAGCTTTTTCCACACTGACTTTATTGACTGATCACTGCTTAGTATTATTTAAATGGATGAAGTTGATATTGATTGGATACCATGTGACTACAGTTACAATTATTCATGAAATGCTTGAAAATTGCTGTCTGGCAGACAAATGATACCTGGTCATAAATTAAAAGCAAATGCAAAGATTTTCATGAAGATTAAAAAAAATAATCTACACCAGAGTCAAAATCATCAAATTAAGACTCTCAAGGATCTAAAATTATTTCGGTCAGATCAGAACAAATTGAGTCAGTGATTTTTTTGTTCTTGTTTGTGAATGGGAGAGACCGATTCTTTTGTATTAACACTGGGATATCCAAGGAGAAATGGGAGGACCTTAGTGGAGTGGGGTAAAACCAATACGACTTCAAGGTATTTAGAGACAACACTGAAATTAGAAAATGCACATGCAAATGTAGACTCATTGTATACACACAGAAAATAGATTAAAAATGGACTCTGCAGAGATATAAAGGAAAAGGAGGAACAGGATAGAGATATCAGAAAAAAAGCGAAGAAACAAAGCCAAGCGTGACAGTGTTTTTCCTGTTAGAAGGGGGGTTCAGGAAGTGTGCAGGGAGTGAGATGCCCCAGGGAACACCGAGCAGGAGCTGTCTGAACAGAGGTTGCTCTCCTGGAAGAGGAGGTAGGGGGTATATCCAGGGTTGGATTTTCCGAGTATGTTTAGATTTTTCAAAGAGACTTTGCAATGGGATAACTGGAGAAGAACCAACCTTTCCAGGGAGACAGAGTCCAGAAAGTAATGAAATGCTCCAGGTGTCTTCGAGACATCTCTGGTCCAAAGATACGGAGCTTTTGTATTCCACTAGCACTGTTAGTTATTAGCAGTGCAGAAAAAAAAAGAGCCAGTGAATAATTACATCACTGATGATGAATCCCTGAGGTAGTCCCAGAAAATCTGGCTCTCCAAAGGGATAATGTATGCCTCCGAAAACCTCTGCTTACTCTGTGTCCAAGACCAGTGTCTGAGGCTGGAGTAGGTTAAAATCCTGCCCCCTCTCTTGCCAGACGGCGTTGTCAACCTGAGCATCCCCATCGTGCTGCCTGTATCCACGGAGGACAAGGAGCGGCTGGAGGGCCACGAGGCGCTGGCGCTCAGCTACGAGGGCCGGAGGGTGGCCATCCTGAAGAACCCCGAGTACTTCGAGCACAGGAAGGAGGAGCGCTGCGCCCGGGTCTGGGGCACCACCTGCGCCAAGCACCCGCACGTCAAAGTAGGTTTGTCCCCTTGCTGCCCTGAGAGACCTGGCCAGGATGGGAAATGCGGGCAGGGGCTGGAGAACAGAGCCTTTCTGAGGTTTTGAGGGCCGTGGGTGTCCTGTTTCCTATCCAAGCCCGAGTCCTCACGGGGAACCATCGTGTCCCAGGCAGGCACGGCTGAGTTTTTAGGCTTGTGAGTTAGTGCTGTGCTTGCTGCTCAGCAAGAGCAGGAGAGGACAAGCACAAGGTGAAAGGGAACTTGAGCGTGCTGCTGGTGAGCTGCTCCTTTCATTCACTCCTGGTCACCCGTGTGCCGGCCTCCAAACATTTTTAGCATAACCACCGACTTAGCCCCCAAAGATTTCCTGCACTTGGAGTGACAATCTCAGTGATGCTACCAAATGCTAATGCTGCAGATCGCAGACTCAAGCTCCTTTTGCCTACCTTTTGCTTTAATTTGGCTGTTTTGTACAGTCAGCCAACAAGGGTGCTATATTTTTACAGCGTGTCTCTTTCCACTTGCTCTCTGGCAGTACGAAGAACATCAGCCCTTAGAAAGGGAGAGCTCCAGGGTACACAGAGTGACTTGAACTGACGCTTAAAGCCATATTAATTCCTTTTCCCTACCATAAAACAAATCATTTAATTATTCAGTAGCAGTTGCTCACTTTGCAACAGGCTTATTCCTCCTGCATATTCGCAGGAGGAGAGGGCAAAGGGTGAAGTAGAGGAAGGTCTTGGACTTCCCGGCTGCCAGAGAGGAGCCTGGCACCCAGCCGGGTGCAGGGGTAGGGGCTCGGTGGCTGATGCCGCACGTTATGGGGTTGTGCTGCCCATGGCTTTCAGTCCACGGGGGCACTGTAAGAATATTTTGCCCCTACAATGTGCTGAATGAGGAGGGAAGATCACCCTACAAGCGGAGTCAAGCCTAACACTTTTCAAAGGAGCCTGCAAAAGGGAAAAGGAGGTATGTTGCTGTCCCCTTGTCACGTCCCACTCTCAGGAAAGAGGGCGGCTAAAAGTGACTCAGATTTGTAAATCCCCAACAGCATGGACTAAGGTGAGATGAATCTCAAGGTCCACGTGCAAACATTTATTAGTTTCCCAAAATGATTAGTATAGGTCTTAACAAGTTTGTGATTATGGCAAATGATGTGTTACTGGGCATGTTACTTACACAGCAACTTACGGCAAGCGGTAGTTAAGGTCGTTTCTTAACAACTCTAACTGTTACTTAACAGCTCTAAGAGAAACTGGGGGATAGAGAAAAGAAGAGCTAGATAAAAAAGACAAAGAGATCACCGGTCCCAAATCCAGTGTCTTTTTCAGGGAATCTTCCCAGACATAATCTTCTTCTTTCTTGGAAAAATCTTCCTGGGCACGGTCATCGTCTTCTTTGTTCTTTGCTCCGTGCTCTCTCCAGGGTAACTTATTTCCCCCTTCTCTGTTTGCTGAAGGATGGTGTCCCCCCCTTGCCAAGGACATCTCCTCTCAGGTTTCTCCCTTCTCTGAGGTGACATGTAGCATAATTTAGGTGTCAAGACGAGCGCCATAGTCATATATGTTTAGCATGATCTCCATAAACTTCATTAACATATGCAGGAGTGTGCGCTTTCATATGCATTTCGCGGATAATGAAGGAAAGGCCACTTGTTGGACCCAATGGCCTTGAACAGAGAACTGGCAAGCTCACCACATGACTGGCAGAACTGTCTTATCTCCGCAAGACAGTCCTCCCACCATTTCCCCAGAGCCTATGAGCCTTATCAATTCTTTGAATGTCAGGTCTGCATTATTTATTTCCCTGTGAGCGTTTGAGGCGTTCCACTGGAGGCTTGGAGGGCCTTCTCCCCCTTGTCAGGGAATTCACAGGCTGTCTCTGACACCTCTCCATAATACATGTGTGCATAATTCACAGATGGTGATGGAGAGTGGAGACTGGCTGGTTGGTGGAGACCTCCTCGTGCTGGAGAAGATCAAATGGAATGATGGGTTGGACCAGTACCGCCTGACACCTCTCGCTCTCAAGCAGAAGTTCAGAGAAATGAATGCTGGTGAGTCTCCTGGGTTAGCACCAGTGACACAACTCTTCTTGCCCTGCGTGGCACCAGGAGATTGCTGTGATCTGTGCTGGCTTGCCCTCAAGCTCTCAGCACTTGCCATGTTGCTTCTGTATGCTCCCAAAATGGGACTATTCATGTGGAGTGAGCAGTAAGAGGGACACAGTGGTGTGGGGTCTCCTTGGTTAAGAACAGTGCTTCTGATGGACTGTGTCCTCAATGGGCATCTCTGAGCACCAGACCGGAAAGCATCGAGCGTCCTGCTGGTGTCCTCTCCGGCAGGTCAGAGCCTCTCTTTCTGCACCCTGAGTGTTTAGAGCCATGTGCTTGGCCTTCACAGAGGAAGGACAGGTAAGGTATCTTCTCCCAGGTGTCTGTCCCAGCAGGCTGGCAGGCGTCAGACACCTACCCTCACTCTGGGGAGAGAGCATTGGCCTTCCTGAAGGTGCCATCAAGCTTGGAGAGGGGGCAGGTCACTTACAAAGTCAGGGAACAGAGTGCAGATGTCCAGTAGCATCTTAAAACATTGTAGGAGAGCTGGTAGGACCGAAATCAGCCCCAAAGGAAAGATGTGCAATGAAAATAAACTTGCAGAGTGATGAAGAGGCACTGTATGTGTATGAAACACTTATCTAAGGTATTGGAGGCCTTGCTCATATTAAGATATGTAGATTGTAAGACGTGTATCCTATCTTATGACTGTTGAAATGTCGATGGTCGGTGCAAGCCTGTGACCCTCTGAATCTTTCCCTTTCAGATGCTATCTTTGCATTTCAGCTGCGCAACCCTGTCCACAACGGGCACGCCCTGCTCATGCAGGACACACGGCGCCAGCTTTTGGAGAGGGGTTACAAAAACCCCGTGCTTCTCCTGCACCCCCTGGGAGGATGGACCAAAGATGATGATGTCCCGCTGGAGTGGCGGATGAAACAGCACGCAGCAGTGCTGGAGGAGCAAGTCCTGGACCCGAAATCAACCATCGTTGCAATCTTCCCCTCTCCCATGCTCTACGCTGGCCCCACAGAGGTAAGGAAGCCATCAGTTGCTCACCACGACAAGGCGTGAAGCCTGGCCATGGGGCTGCCAGCTGCCAGGCTGCCTGCCCAGCCTCAGAAAGCCACGGGACAGGGGGTCGGTCGCTGTTGCCTCGCTCTTAGCTCCCGCTGTGGTTCACTGGCAGCTCCCAGCAGAGCTCCTGTGCTTTCACAGGTTGTGTGGAGAGCTGGGGGAGAAGGGGGCTAGAAACAGACTTTACCGCTGTGACCTTTTCCTCTGTCAGGCGGGGACGCTCATTTATTTTCTCCCAGTGGTTTCCCTTCTGTCCCTAAATTGGTGGGATGAATGGAATAGAAGCTAAACATCCCCTGAAGGAGGAGGGAGAGGGATGCATGGGCAGCCTTTGCCTCCCCCTTCTCTGTTTGCTGAAGGATGGTGTCCCCCCCTTGCCAAGGACATCTCCTCTCAGGTTTCTCCCTTCTCTGAGGTGACATGTAGCATAATTTAGGTGTCAAGACGAGCGCCATAGTCATATATGTTTAGCATGATCTCCATAAACTTCATTAACATATGCAGGAGTGTGCACTTTCATATGCATTTTGCGGATAATGAAGGAAAGGCCACTTGTTGGACCCAATGGCCTTGAACAGAGAACTGGCAAGCTCACCACATGACTGGCAGAACTGTCTTATCTCCGCAAGACAGTCCTCCCACCATTTCCCCAGAGCCTATGAGCCTTATCAATTCTTTGAATGTCAGGTCTGCATTATTTATTTCCCTGTGAGCGTTTGAGGCGTTCCACTGGAGGCTTGGAGGGCCTTCTCCCCCTTGTCAGGGAATTCACAGGCTGTCTCTGACACCTCTCCATAATACATGTGTGCATAATTCACAGATGGTGATGGAGAGTGGAGACTGGCTGGTTGGTGGAGACCTCCTCGTGCTGGAGAAGATCAAATGGAATGATGGGTTGGACCAGTACCGCCTGACACCTCTCGCTCTCAAGCAGAAGTTCAGAGAAATGAATGCTGGTGAGTCTCCTGGGTTAGCACCAGTGACACAACTCTTCTTGCCCTGCGTGGCACCAGGAGATTGCTGTGATCTGTGCTGGCTTGCCCTCAAGCTCTCAGCACTTGCCATGTTGCTTCTGTATGCTCCCAAAATGGGACTATTCATGTAGAGTGAGCAGTAAGAGGGACACAGTGGTGTGGGGTCTCCTTGGTTAAGAACAGTGCTTCTGATGGACTGTGTCCTCAATGGGCATCTCTGAGCACCAGACCGGAAAGCATCGAGCGTCCTGCTGGTGTCCTCTCCGGCAGGTCAGAGCCTCTCTTTCTGCACCCTGAGTGTTTAGAGCCATGTGCTTGGCCTTCACAGAGGAAGGACAGGTAAGGTATCTTCTCCCAGGTGTCTGTCCCAGCAGGCTGGCAGGCGTCAGACACCTACCCTCACTCTGGGGAGAGAGCATTGGCCTTCCTGAAGGTGCCATCAAGCTTGGAGAGGGGGCAGGTCACTTACAAAGTCAGGGAACAGAGTGCAGATGTCCAGTAGCATCTTAAAACATTGTAGGAGAGCTGGTAGGACCGAAATCAGCCCCAAAGGAAAGATGTGCAATGAAAATAAACTTGCAGAGTGATGAAGAGGCACTGTATGTGTATGAAACACTTATCTAAGGTATTGGAGGCCTTGCTCATATTAAGATATGTAGATTGTAAGACGTGTATCCTATCTTATGACTGTTGAAATGTCGATGGTCGGTGCAAGCCTGTGACCCTCTGAATCTTTCCCTTTCAGATGCTATCTTTGCATTTCAGCTGCGCAACCCTGTCCACAACGGGCACGCCCTGCTCATGCAGGACACACGGCGCCAGCTTTTGGAGAGGGGTTACAAAAACCCCGTGCTTCTCCTGCACCCCTTGGGAGGATGGACCAAAGATGATGATGTCCCGCTGGAGTGGCGGATGAAACAGCACGCAGCAGTGCTGGAGGAGCAAGTCCTGGACCCGAAATCAACCATCGTTGCAATCTTCCCCTCTCCCATGCTCTACGCTGGCCCCACAGAGGTAAGGAAGCCATCAGTTGCTCACCACGACAAGGCGTGAAGCCTGGCCATGGGGCTGCCAGCTGCCAGGCTGCCTGCCCAGCCTCAGAAAGCCACGGGACAGGGGGTCGGTCGCTGTTGCCTCGCTCTTAGCTCCCGCTGTGGTTCACTGGCAGCTCCCAGCAGAGCTCCTGTGCTTTCACAGGTTGTGTGGAGAGCTGGGGGAGAAGGGGGCTAGAAACAGACTTTACCGCTGTGACCTTTTCCTCTGTCAGGCGGGGACGCTCATTTATTTTCTCCCAGTGGTTTCCCTTCTGTCCCTAAATTGGTGGGATGAATGGAATAGAAGCTAAACATCCCCTGAAGGAGGAGGGAGAGGGATGCATGGGCAGCCTTTGCCTGTGTGGGGCTTGAGGGCTGGTGGGCACTGGCTTTGCAGATTCAAAAAGCAAACCACTGCCTCCATTTGCTGCCACAATGGAACAAGACCAGTTCCCATCCCCAGTGTTTCCCTTGAAATACATGTCTTGAGGAGAACTTTCCATGAGCCAGCAATGTGCCCTTGTGGCCAAGAGGCCAATGGGATCCTGGGCTGTGTAGGGCAGAGTGTGGCCAGCAGGTCGAGGGAGGTCATTGTCCCCCTCTGCTCTGCACTGGGGAGGCCACAACTGGAATCCTGTGTCCAGTGCTGGGCTCCCCAGTTCCAGAGAGACAGGGAACTGCTGGAGAGAGTCCAGCCTGGGGCAACAGAGATGATGGAGGGATTGGAGCATCTCCCTGATGAGGAAGGGCGGGGAGAGCTGGGGCTCTTGAGCCTGGAGAAGAGAAGGCTGAGGGGAGACCTTATTTATGTTTATAAGTGTCTCAAGGGGGAGTTGAAGGATGTTGGAGCTGGACTCTTTTCAGTGGTTTCCAGCGATAGGACGAGGGGCAACGGGCACAAGCTGGACCATGGGAAGATCTACTCCAATCTGAGGAAGAACTTCTTTGGGGTGAGGGTGGCAGAGCCCTGGGACAGGCTGCCCAGGGAGGGTGTGGAGTCCCCTTCTCTGGAGATCTTCAAGCCCCACCTGGATGCTCCTGAGTGATGTGCTCTGGGCAGCCCTGCTTTGGCAGGGGAGTTGGACTGGATGGGCTCTAGAGGAACCTTCCAACTCTGACAATTCCATGATTCTGTTGCATCAGGTCCAAGCAGTGGAAGACGAGTCTGGGCAGCCTGATCACCATGAGAAGCTGCAGCAAGGCTGCTGACACATCTGCCTCCCTGCCTGCTTGCGTGTGGATCACCAGATGTCTTCTGCAGCCCAGGGAGGGCAGCTTAGTTGCTGTTCAGCCCTCAGCTAGTGCTCCTTGTGTCTCTGCTTTGCAGGTCCAGTGGCACTGCCGAGCTCGCATGATTGCTGGGGCCAATTTCTACATTGTGGGGCGCGACCCTGCGGGCATGCCTCACCCCGAGACCAAGAAAGACCTGTATGAACCCACGCAGGGAGGGAAAGTCCTCAGCATGGCGCCAGGCCTCACCTCGGTGGAAATCATCCCCTTCCGTGTGGCTGCTTACAATAAACTGAAAAAAGCCATGGATTTTTATGACCCAAAAAGGTAAGATGGGCAGCAGCATTGCTGTTTCTTCAGCCCGCACAGCGCGTGTGGCTCACGCTGGCGTCTGGCTTGCAGTTTGCCAGGGTGAGAGGGAAAAGCAGTCGTTCCTCTTAAGGAGAGGAATGGGGGAAGTACCTGGGAAAGCCACTCGCTTTCCCCGCCAAGACCTGACACCAGGTCAAGGATGGGTGCACGAAGCTAAGGATGCACCTTTGTAGCCTCCAAGGGAGGGTAAGAAACACAGTTTTGGGACTGTCAGCAGAAATACAGCCTCTGGCAGCTGGAGAAGTGTGTTACTTACAACTCCAGCTCCTCTCAAAAGGGCAACCCTGTTGTTGCCGATTGTAGACGTGGATGTGGAGCCACAGGTGGGTGCTGCTGGTGCCAGGGGGTTCTGACTGCACACTTGGCACAGCAGAGCAGCTGTACTGGGGACAACTCAGGCCGGTTGTGCTGATTTCACCCATCTCTGTTTTGCTGCAGGCACGATGACTTTGACTTCATCTCGGGAACACGCATGAGGAAGCTTGCTCGGGAAGGTGAAAACCCACCAGATGGCTTCATGGCCCCCAAAGCCTGGAAAGTCCTGACTGAGTATTACCAGTCCCTGGAAAAGAAGAATTAACACTACTCCTCCTCCCTAGAAATACTTGTATTAAGAGTGAGCAATGATTGATTGATTCCCTATGACACAGATCAGTTATTTGGCATTTCCAATGCTCTGACTGTAGGATTTTTCTACCTGGGTCAGAGTGTTTTTTACTAATCAGAAATACTTTGAGCCTGGTCCTTCTCCCCTTGCTGCTGGGAGTGTCCTCATGGAGCTGGGAGGGGAGGGCACTAAGGCAGTAAGCCCTTCGTTCCCAGCTGAGCACGGCTGTAGGAAGCCCGGTGTGGCCTCCGGGTAGGCCAGCTGGATCATTTTGGTGCTGTCAGGGCTGCGCTGCAGCCCCCGGTGCAGAGCTGGGACCTCAGCACTGGGACAAAAATAGGATAAAAATTAAGAAGTGCCTTTCTGCTGCCCCTGGCCCGGCGCTGCCTGAAGAGACAGGAGCAGCTGCTGAAGCAAGGAGTGGTCGCTGCTGACAGAGTGGGAGAGGGAAACAAGCACTCGATGCTGGGATCCAGTCTCTGCCCTCCAGGTTGTGCCTTAGACAATTTATTGCTAACAAACAGTGGGATTTTTTAATGCCCTTTTTTTAAAAGGAGTTTTTAAAAATTTTTTAAATCAGCCTTGACCATCACCAGTTCCTCGTGGCAAAGTTGATTTTTTACTGTTCTTCCTTGCTTCCTCCTGCTTGACCTCTCTGGTCAAAACAAAGAATGAGGTTTGGGCTGAGCATCACGGCTGCTCCCAGTTCAGCTTTCCACGAGGACCCGGCCGTGACGATCCCAGCTCAGGGCCGGCTGGGAGCACTGGTGGGGGAACCTGTCTGGGGAGGCACTCTAAAGCCCAGAGATCTCCAAGGTAGCCTAGGGCAACAAGCAAAAACTAGGGATGCTGCTTTCATGGGTGTCCTCCTGCCTGGCAGGATTGGAGACACAACCCCCCTCTGCCCATGCTCTTCCCATCCAAAAGGCAAATTAAAGGCAAAATATCAAACTGGCAGTGTGAGGAGGACCTGAGTGGCTGCGCCCCATGAATCAGGCGAGAGGTGGCTCAAGCGCTTGCCCTCATCTGTACCCTTAGCCCTGCGTGGGCACGGGTGCCCTGATTTTACTTTGTGTCTGGTACCTGATTTTACTCTGTGTGTGTGGGATGGTGATGCTGGCTCCAGCTGGCGGATGGCAGAGAAGTCTGTCCTTCCTCCCCGTGCGGTGTGCTGCTGTGCGAGGGGTGATGGGGCTGAGCTGGGAGCCGTGGCTGGTGCTGCTCCCACCTCTGGCTGGTGGAAAGTTACTGCAGATCTTTTTTTCTTCCCCCACCCCATTGAGATGGACTTTGCTGGTGTGCATGAGGTTTTTCCGCTGACTGGCAGCTCTCACGGTGACCTTGGCTGGGGCTGAGCTGCCTGACTCAACGCTGGAGCTTTATCTGGCCCTGTCTGTGTCTCGCCCCACCTCACTGGGGCATGTCCTGGTGGTGGCTGAGCTTGGAGCACAGCCCTGCGCAGCTGGAAGCCCCACTGTGCTGCCCACGGCGCTCGGTGTGAGGCTTTCATGGGCAGAAACAATTATGCACTATCATGGCAGTCTGAATTGATGATTTTTGTACTCATCCTTTTTAGTAGACACCCCAGGACCAGTCAGAATGTGTTTCAAACACAACGGAAATAGCGTTCTCCTCCTCTTCTACTTCAGATTTAATTGTGAACAGATCTGCGCCCCGTAACAACAATCCTGCTTCTGCTTGTAGCTCAGGACCGAGAGACACACCGCAAGCTACACCCTGCTTTGTGGTGGCCATGGTACAGCGTCCAAGACTATGGATGCCATTGGGAATACTTTTGAGAAAAAAAAAAAAACAACTTTTCATTTATCAACTGTTTTGGGTTGGGGCTTTTTTCCCAATTTTTTTTTTATTTTTTTTTTTAAAGTATTTGGAGCAAGGAGCCCAAAGCTGTGTTATACCTCCAGAAAAATGCTGCAACACCCCTGGCAGTAGCTGGATGCACACTTGTACCTGTGCCTTTTACACTCAGACCCTCTGGCAGGGACCTGGAAGACAAAAGCAATACTCCCATTTCTGATTGCAATATTTGTAAATTTTAAGTAGTGAAATAGTGCTGTTGCCACTCATCTTAGAATAATCAAATGGTTGAAAAAGAAACCACCTGCAGTAAATCCAAATGGTTACAGCAAAACACAAATGCTGTGTTACCCTTTAAAAATAGCATAGTGTGCTGATTACCTCTGATTAAACCGGGGTATGTGGACCAGGGGTTTTTTATAGTGTATTTATTAAATAAGACATGAGACTGGAATTTGTACCTCAACTGATGCATCTCATGATTGAATATATTCTCAACTTGATACATCTCATGATTGAATATATTCTCAACTTGATACTCTGCTACAATACAATCACTTTTACTACAAATAAATATTTATACATGTAACTAACTCTCACGTGACAGTTTTTTTTTTGGGGGGGGGGGGG